ATAATCTTAATTGGAGTTGTAAGGACAAAGTTATGCTTTTTTTAATCAAAAATTCTAAAATGAAGCCCAAGAATCTCTGCATTACTAGAAATATTTCATGGATTAGAATCATGTTATTAGAACCATTTTCGATTTACGTGTATTTTTTGTGAGAGAAAACACTATAGCGAACCATGAACCATGATTCAAATCATGGTTTGAATCCTCCAACCAAACATCCCCTAAAATCAATCATAATGTACTAATTACGCTGATGTCATTTATTAACCTAACCCATTTATTGTAATCCATAAATCTTTATCAATTTACAATAAAACCCTTACATTTTTTTATAACAAAGTAGACAACTTTAACTAGGAATTATCACGTATGAGATGCTCCAAAACAACATATGGACGTTAGAAATCGCCAAAATATCTATAGCTATATAAAAATGTGTTTACAAGACAATTTTTTTCGATAAAAAAATGAGAGTCGTTTGTACCATTCTACCTTTCATTACCTTGGCTTTTATAGATATCTCATGATTCAATTGAGAGAAAATTACAGATTCTACTTGTACTTAATTTACTAAAAGTACATTTTAAAAAAAAACTCTATATCTTAGTTAATTTTAGTTTAAAAGGTATTTGACTAATGTTAAAGGGGTAAAAATAAAAGAAAAATACATCTCAAATAGAACTGCAAGTTTGAGCCGAGCTAAATGTGTCGGCCCGAAGCCCACCACTGTTGGCCTGGGCCTAACCCGACTCGGCCCTAAATTTTTACCTATTGTCTTTTTTTTTTCTCTATACATCTAACAATACATAAAAGATTCAAAACTCTTTCCTCCTGTTACTTCTTTTTTTTCTTTTCTTTTTTTATTTTTTTGTGATTTTTTTTTACATTTTAATTTTTGTGTGTCTTTTTGAAATATATTGTTCCTCCTCACCTTACTCCTATGAGATTAATTTTTTTTTTTTTGCATGTGTTCCTATTTATTTTTAGTTGGTTAAAATATATTTTTTAAAATGTGTCCTTATTTAATTTTTTTCTCAGTTATTATCTTTACACATATTTCTTTTAAAAATTATTAAAAATAAATGATTGTATAAATGAATTTCTCATTATTTAATAAATAATAAATTCTTCAAATGTCTTAAACGACAAAGCGTGCGGAGCACATTACTCTGCTTTTAACCTTTAAGTTTAATATATATAATATAATAATATATTAAAATGAAATCTCAAGGTTTTAATGTATATTTTGATTAGTATTTCAGTTGGGATACGGCCACTAACACATATCACTTTGAGTCAAAGGTGTCTTCTTTATGATTTTGATACTAATATTTTTAGACATTATCATGCGACAATAGATTTTTAAATAATCTTATCTACTCGACTTCACATAAATTTTCATACAAAATTATCTGCATGATTTTAATAACTGAATAGTCTACATATTATCATGTGATAGTGAAATATAGTTTAATATCCCCGTCAACACGTCCTAACAAACTAGTCAAGGCTATTTTAACAACGCCTACTTTTCTTTTCTTCTTTTTTTTTTTTTTTTTTTAAGAAAGAGACGCTCCTTTTTAAAAACGTCATTTATCAATATTTTTAAGAAAAAAATTATTGTACTTATTTTTATAGCGTATAAATCTAAATTTTTATTATTTGTTTTTAATTAATTTTTTTATTTAATAACTAAAAAAATTAATTAAAAAAGATAAAAATTCAGACACAATACGCATTTTAAAGTTGTCTCTTTTCTCATATTTTTATAACCAAATAATACTTTTTTATTTATTTTCGTGTAAATCTTTTTCAAAACCTGCCTTGTAGTAGTTCACACGCTAACGTTAATTGATTTGGTCGAATCACGTGTAAAAGGTCGTGATCTGAGACGACGCAAAGCTCGAGTCTTCTTACACGCCTAATCTTGTCCAAAGACCAATTTTTTGGAAGCATATATGCGTAGTTACTGTTCTAGCCTTGGCCTAAATTGTACGTATCATTAGACATACCAAATCCTTGCTAACTCAGAAAAATAATAAATAAATATTTATACTCTGGCATTTCTTTTTTCTTTTAGTGCTAGGCACTAACTATTACATTAGAAAAATATTTATGGCTTATTCGGTTGTATTTTTAAGTTATAATAATTTAAGTGTAAATTTTAAGTTATAATTTGAGTTATAATTTGAGTTAAAGTTGTAACTTGAGTTTGTGTTTAGATGTGCACATTTGATTTATGATTTGAATTGAGAATCTATTTGAGTTTGTGTTTGAGTGAGTCAAAACTTAAATTTATATTTAGATAGTATTTTAATAAAAACTGAATGGTGATGAAAAGTTTTAATAGGGTATGTGAGTGAGGTTTTATTCGTCTTTTCTTTTGAACGTATAGAAAAAAAAATCATCTCAGTCGGAATTAAAACGAAAAAGTTATGATATTTTTAATAATAGAAAAAATATTGTTCATTAACTTGAGTTTGAGTTTAAGAACTTGAGTTAAAATGAAAACTTGAACTCATATTTTAACATCAAATTCAAGTTAAAACTCAATGTTTGGTAGAGGGATTCATTCCCTGATTCGAATCATGATTCATGGTTCGCTACAGTATTTTCTCTCACAAAAAATTCACGTAAATAAAAAATGGTTTGAATCCTCCAACCAAACGTCAAAGAGCAAATTTTATAAACGAATATGAACTTAAATAAAGTTGCAACTTAAATTTAAATTTTTTTTTATCTTTATTCTAAAAGAACAAATCCTTTATCTCTCGGACATTGGATTACTCATTCATTATTGTAGTTATTATATTTCCTTTTTTGTTTTATTTTTCCTCTCAGATAACACCCTCATTTATTTTCTCATAAAGAAATTTAAGAAGATATACACTTCTTTTTTCTCTTTTTCCTTTTATTTTTTATGCTAAAAAATGTATACTTCTATGTTGAAGTTGAACCGACCAATAATTTCTTTTTGAGGGTACCGGCCAATAATTTATAAACGTCAAGTTTTTTCTTTTTACTCATTGCATTTATTCTTTTTCTTTTTCTTTTTCTTTTTTTCCCCTTTATTAAAAGTTATGGGGTACCCTTTTGCTCAAATTCTCACGCCATGCCAGAAGTAGCCCCAAAATATAATCCTTTACTTCATTAAAAAAGAAAATAAACAATATCCCAGCTAAAATGGTAAAAGTAAATATTACACGTATCAAGTTAATTTACTTATTGATTGCATAACGTAAATTTACTTATTAATGTCCCCTTTTTGTTTACTAAAACTTTCATTTACTGGCTGATATCTCCTTTTTTTTATTACGCATAATGTTGAGCACACGCATGACCACATAAAAACCTATGGAAAAAAAAAACTATGACCATATCCCTATAAAAAAATTAAAAAAATAAAAATAAAAAAATTTGACCATTATTTTATTACGTCAGTTTGATGAAAAAAAAACACAGTATTCCTATTATTACTCCAAATTTAATAAGCTTAGCTGCAATGCCACCCAGGTATATCGATCCACACAATATTACAATTTTAAATACAAAATCCTTCACGGCTGTAGATTTATAATAATAGTGAATGGCGTTTTTCCTTTGCGGAAAGAAAACGTAAATTTTTAATAAAGTAAATGCCCTTTTTTTGGTTGTTTTCTTATTATTATTATTATTATTATTTTTTTTTTTAAAAGTAGATGGCATTTCACACTTGAGAAAACGGTCATACATTCTGTCATAGCTGCTAAAAAGAGAAATACATATAACAAATATTTTCTTTTGCAAGGCAACATAATAAATTTCATATCATATACTCATTACCCAAAACAAAAGACCACGCATTTGAATAAAAGCGAAGAAGGTAAAACACTTATATTTTAGAAACAAAAGTAATGCATTGTAAACGATATGCATAATCTAAAGACGTATATGTAAGTTTTAGATTTATGTTGGTAATTGTAGGGTTAAAAAAAACAAAAACAAAAAAAAACTGTAGTTATGGATACTAATAAAAAGAAAACCATTTGTTTTTTGAGACCTACCATTTAAACTGATTTTATCAAAACAGACCCAAAAAAAAAAAAACGACAGTCTACAGAGATCAGAAAAGAAATCACATATTCAAATAAATAAACGGAAATTATAGCAGATAAGTCATTGTTGTAAAATATTTATGGTAAATAACACATTTTAAAATATTTATGATATATAGTATATTTTAAATATTTATGATAAATAGCATATTGATGATAAATGGATCATGTGTGAACCATATTTACGATAAGTTTACTTTATAAATTTACTTTGTATATGAATTATTTATTGTAAATATGCTATTTACTATAAATTTAAAAAAAAAATACTAATTAGCTCTTTTTCCTTCAAATAAATTCAAGTTTACCTTAAATATAAGCCAACAAGACCCCAAAGCACAAAACAAATTTCATTTTCTGTTGAACAATTCATGAAACACAATATGGTCTATTACGAGGGCAAAATTGAGAAAATAAAATAATAATAATAATAATAAGACCACAAAAGTAGTGCTCTCACTATTATAATTAATTAACTTTATAGTATTCACGCGGGGTCCCACGTAGAGGCCCGCAAAATCTAAAATTAAAATTATTGCGACTCGACTGTTCTTAATATTTTTTTATATAAATAAAAATAAATAAATAAGAGCTACACATATGAGATAACGATAATAACAATAACGAACTTCGCACTGATGCCGCAAGACGTACATTTACGCACTCTCATGCAAAATGCAGTAAAGTTTGGCAAGACAACAAAAAGGAGATTCCAAGTTAATTAAAGTCGTTCATTCAAAACTAGAAAGGAACGAGTGTGTTTATTAAATATATGAGGTGCTGAGTCTGATTCTGTACATTATTTTAATATATCTATTTAATAAAAGCATAGGCTATATTTACTATTTAAGTTCATTTCATTTTTTTTCTTTTTCCTATTTTTTTTTTAATTCACTCCCTGGTCTCTCTCTCTCTCTCTCTCTCTCTCTATCTATCTCTCTCTCTCCTCTTTGTCTGTTTCACCGCAACGACTGACCAAGAATTTTCCGGCATTGACCAATTCTATGAGAGACCCAGCTCCGATAGTGCCAGATCGGTGAGCTGAGCTGAACCCTGAAATTGCATTTCATTATTTTCGACTCAAATCATGTGTATTGACCAAAAATGAAGATTCTTTTGAGATTTCGATGTGTTAATTTTGTTTTCCATCTATATCCTTGTAATTCATACCCCTCAATCTGAATCAGATTCAGGGGATTTCCTGTTCCTCAACCCACTTGAAGAAAAAACAAAAATTAATACTTTAAAGCCATAAATATGTTTCCATTGCCATACATGCGTTCCACGTTTTGCCACAGGAGTGAAAAGTGTATTAGCTGGTGTTAAGCTGTTGAGAAAAATCTGGTTAAAAAAAAAAAAAAATTAGTTTTCAGTAACAATCGCGTATGGGTTTTTCTTTTTCTTTTTCCTCCTATTTCTATTTCTATTGCAGTTTTCCTCTTCTGATGAGAAATGGGTTTTTCTTTAACGTCTCACAGGTTCAGGCAATGAGGTTAAAAGAGAGGAGGATAACAGAAAACACTCGGCTTTTGGCATTTCGCAAGCAAAATTCAGCTGCTTGAGGAGAATTAGGATGACCCTGAGAAGCGAGAACTAGGAAAACAAGAGAAAAATTGGGATATTTTCTCAACAGAATTCAAGAATGGATTTTCGAGGCAAGTTTTCGATTCCACAGCCTGAGGAGATTCCTTTGGAGAGCTCTTGGATGCCGGCAACACCAAAGAAGCCACCCATTTTGGTGAGATCCAATTCAGTCTTAGAAAGCCCAAATGGGAATCTAGTACCGGGGGGTATGGCCAATTGGTTAGAACCGGCATCAAATAACAATTGCTTTGCTGAAATTTTCAATACAAATCCACAAACGGGTCGAATTCCTGCGCGGTTCGGGTGCGATGGGAATCCGAATGCTAATGCCATTGCTGGTTCTTATCAACAACAGTCTTTGCTTGATGAGGGTGTAGATTGGAACAATATCTCATTTCTGCAGCTGTTGCAGCAAGGGGATAATCCAGATTTGGCTGCCTCCGCAAACAGAACGCTGACCGGAGATGTACAAGCGGCAGCAGAGATGCCTCTTATGCCGATTCAGCGACCCGAAATGAGCAACTTCCGAGGAGATTGCAGCTCATCAGGTGGTCTCAGTTCAGGTTCGAGCTTAAGACCTGATATGACCAATGCACATTGTCAAGTTGAGAGAAGTTGGATTAGTTTGTTGCACAGAGAAGGAAATCGGGGTCCGGCTTCAGACCTGTCAGATAATGGTAAGAGCTTACCCAAGAGACTCCAGTGAAAGTGTTTAAACTTTTTATTATTGTTGTTGTTGTTGATTACTTCTGTTAGCTCCATCGGGAATCTGGATTTAGCAATTAAAGGTCTCATATTTGATTGACAAAATGTAAAGAGATTGAAACAAATTGTCATCTGAAACAATCAAACCAATGTCATGGAGCACTTGCAGGTTGACCAATTATCCTTGAAACCCCCTTAACATAAGAGGTTTTTGTGCTCTCGAGTGAAAATTATGATAATTCTCTTCTATTTGTTGTAATAATCTTTTCTGGTTTAAGTCCTATGAGATGTGTTTTTGAAAAATAAAAATAAAAATACGACGTGAGATTGAACCTGTGACCTCCCTCCTCAAAGCCCCACCTCACCCGAAACACACCATGCTACTAGACCAAATGGTCTTAAGCAGTCCTATGAGATGATTATTGCTTCCCTCGTAAAACTTGAACAGCACAATCAGAAATAGCCTTCCTTTAGCATCCAAACACTCGCATAAAGCACTTGTCTGTTCTTAGTGTATCGATGATGGAATAAGAAGAGAATTTCCATAGTGACTTAGCAATGAGCATTCCGTATTCTTGATTTTTCTGAAATTTCTTCATAACAAGTTGAAACTTCATACTATAAACTATAAAGTGAGATTTCTAATCTTATGGTGGGCTTGTTTATATTTTAATATTATATCGTATTCCTATAGGAGATGAGAAATTGTAGCACCGCCAAAGAACAGTACAATGCTGCTTCTATAAAATTCAGATCAAACAATCTGTTTACCTTATGAATTTGCATTTACACTGTCCATACCAAATTCATGAACAAAACTCTCTCTCTGCAGATGCTTTCCCCAGAGCTTCCAGGCCAAGCTATGATTTGAACTCCTCTCTAAGTATAAATTCTCATGCTCACGCTAATGTTGCCAACTCGCTTGTTTTCACACCAGAACAGGCCGCAAACCTGGAAAAACAACGATCTACATTGGTCACATCTACAGTAGTTGAAAGCACAAGTCAGGAAAAGGACAAGATGGGGAATTTAGTTCAGTACACGGGAGAGGCAATTCAACACGGTGATGAACTCTTGCAAAATATTGTGGACTCATCATCCACCGCCATTTCTACACAGAAGGAGAAGACAGACTCTGACAAGAAAGTTGACCTAGGCATTGATCTGAATAAGACACCACAGCAGAAACCTCCCAAACGCAAGAAACACAGGCCCAAGGTAATTGTAGAAGGCAAACCTAAAAGGACTCGAAAGCCTATACAGCCAAAAAATACAGTGTCTGGGGAGAACCTTCCAGCAAAGAGGAAATATGTACGCAAGAATAAACCAAAGAATGTAACAGGTCAAGAGGTCGATGTTACAGGGGAGACAAGAGACCCTGGTACTGGAACAGCCCAAAAAACTTGCAAGAGAGTCTTAATTTTTGATATGGAAAAGACTGGCGATGAAACCCACGACAATGTGGTCGCTCGGCAGGAGGTGCAGAACATGAATAAAAGCACTACAAGTATGGCTGGGAACTATCAACCCACGGGACTGGGTAATGGAATGAATCAAGCATGTGGAACGATGCGATCTGCACAGAGTGGCTTACCTAAGAGCTTGATGGTAGAAAACCAGATTCCAGGACAGATGAGTAGCGATACACACTTCACGAGAACGCCACCTGATAGGCAAGCAGCTCTTGCCCCATTAGCTTCTACACAGGACCAGCAATTGAGAAATTTTTATGTAACCGGGAGACCTGTAATAAGTGCCAATGCTGATCAATGGCAAAACAGAACGGCAGATAAATACATTCTCATGCAGCAACAAACACTTAGAGAAGGAACAGGTCAAAATGGCCTTCTAGGAAAAGCTGATTATGCGAACCTTGAAAGGGCTAAACAAATTATCAACCTTGAGAGGATTAGACTGATAATGCAGATCATGCCTCAGCAAGCACCAATGACTCCATCCAAATTCTATGAAGCAAGAGGATCAAAAAGAGAACATTGTCAAACCACTGAACAGGCGAACCTATCGACCTCAAATCATGCTGGTTCATCATTGTATGACGAGCCATATCAAGTAGATGAATATCACAGAAATGGGCATATACTGCGCACAGGATTTTTGCAAACCCATAAGAAAAATAAAATTGGGGGTGGCTACAGAGACATCCAGAACATGCCTTCTAGCACCAAAGCAGCTGATGGGGGTTTAGGAAACACTGAAACTAAAAGACCAGATGATGCGAATCCAATTGGACAGAAATCAAGACTCAATTGCACAATTTTGAATTCCCATCTTCAAGGTAGCAGAGTTGCAGATAGAATAAACGATCAGGTAAATAAATTTACCAGTGACATGTATGTTCATCCTATGGCTTCAGGGCAAAATTCACCAAAGCAGCAAATTTCATCCAAGATACATTCACATTCAGAAAGGATGGGTTCTACCTGGGGGCTGAATCCATTTAACGGCATTTCCACCCAAACCACAATTGAGAAGTGTAAATATCTCGTACACATACCATCTCGCCCAGAAGTATCTACTGGACCAGGAAATGGCCAGACTTTCCAAACATGGTACAGCATGTCAGAAAAGAGGCAGACTGTGGGAGCCCCTCTATTAAAATCAGCTTCGTCAAGAGTGGATAAACTGCAGGAGCCCTCGCCAAAAAGAAGAGGTACTTTTCTCATTGGGAAAATTTAAATAGTGAGTTTTGAGGTTTACTTGGTAATTATGTGTTCTGTTTACATGTCATCACGACATATCAATATTTGAATATTTGATGTAGGTCCAACGAAAAAGCAAATTCCAACACTAATCGACGAGATCATATATAGACTTAAGAGGCTCGACCTCAACGAAGGTAGCAATGGACTGCAACAACAAGACCAAAATGCACTTGTCCTATATAAAGGAGATGGAGCAGTTGTTCCTTATGGTGGATTGGAATTTCTTAAGAAGCGTAAACCACGTCCCAAAGTGGATCTTGATCCAGAAACAAACAGGGTGTGGAATCTTTTGATGGGAAAGGAAGGAAGTGAAGACGTAGAAGGAACAGATAAGGAAAAGGAGAAAAAATGGGAAGAGGAAAGGAAAGTGTTTCGTGGGCGTGTTGATTCTTTCATTGCACGCATGCACCTTGTTCAAGGTGCATTATCTTATACTTACAGCCCTACATATTTTTACTCTTACAGAATTAATGATGCTTTATGTGCTTTATAGCCAACATGACTATCCACAGTTTAGACAACCAAATGATTATTTTGAAATTAATATTAAATCTTGTCTAAAAATTCAACTACCCATGTAAATACAAAATTGACAAATAAATGTATGAAATAGAGTTTAAACTGCATACAAATGTGCTAACAGAGCAGAGTAGATAGCACCCAAAAATGAGCACGATGGTCATTTGCATTTTGTTTAAAATCCTACACTATGCAACAAATAAAATGGTATTCAGATTTGTACTGAACATATATTTACTTAGAATCTCTCAAATAAAAAATAAAGAAAAAGAAAGACCAAAAGTTTGTCAAAAGATCACACACGAATCTTAGGGTGCATAACCACAGTTCTACGGGTGACTAATAGTTATGGTACCAAGAACAAGAGAGTAATTCATCAAAAAGCTTCTTCAAGTCGCCTAATGTACAGTAATTTAAAAAGAAATACTGATTTCAGCAACTAATGCAATATTACTCTTTGCAGGAGATAGACGTTTCTCACCGTGGAAAGGATCTGTTGTTGACTCGGTGATAGGGGTTTTCCTTACTCAGAATGTCTCAGACCATCTTTCAAGGTAACCGTAGTAGTTTTGAATGGTTTTGTAACAAGTGGCCCATAAGATTAACATGCATTTACTTTTCTCTACTTTCTGCAGCTCTGCCTTCATGTCTCTAGCAGCTCGATTTCCTCTCAAGTCAAGGACCTTTAGCACAAAAGACAAGGCCAAAACGAACATAATAGATAGACAAGCACCAATCTCGATATTGAATCCAGATGACACCTTCAAATGGCGCGAAGTATTTGGTGAACCAATTAATAACCCAAACATTGCATCCCGTCATTCTGAGAACCAGTGGGGAAGTGATATAAGAGGGACCGAAAGGACCTTGACAGAGGCACAAAGTCAAACTTTGGACGAAGAATTCATCTTGTCCCAAGATTCTTTTGATTCCACAATCACTCAAGTTGCTAGTGGAATAAGATCCTGCTCAGGCTCCAACTCAGAAACAGAAGATCCCTGTACTTCATGCAAACCCAGTAGCGTTCAACTTTCATCCTCGACTCATTGTCTACAAATGGAAAAGATGACCTCGGTTCACGAAGTTTGCAGTCTTGTGAATGGATGTACAGAATTGAATGAGAAGTCCAAGCATAGGTTGGTAGAATATGACCAGCTAAAGTTGAGATATGATGCAATGAAACATCTTGATTTCCCTTCATCCACTTATTCAGACAGTCCTGACTATCTATACATGCAATCAGCTGGCCCTTCCACAAGTAATAAGTTGCACATTATAAACGACTCTAGAGTACCTGAATTATGTTGCTTTGAAACCTTTAGTGAAGAAAGCACGTCCTCTTGGCATTCAACTACTTCCAGATCTGCTAAAGGGCCAGAGGCAGTTTCTAAGAGCTCAAGAACCGGTGAACCAGCTGGAAGTTTTGGTAATTCCCCCAAGGAACTGAATGGAGAGTGTAGGTCTCGAGAAGCACGCACAGCTGACCCTTATCCATCGTTAAGTATGCACTTAACAAATCAACAACGCATTCCTCAACCTGCACCCGATATTGGACAAAATCATCAATATAATTGCAGCAGTTATCAGCATGAGAGGAACAATATGTTCCACTTGGAAGGCGCTTCATCAACAGAACCTGTAAGACTTGATGGAGCACACACCAAAATGAAGAATGCAACAACGGAGAATGTCCCAAAATTCAATAAGCTCACAGAAAAAACATTTGAAGCTGTAGAAAGTATTTCTGCAACAAACACAAAAATACACACAGAAAATAGATTGGCTGAGACAAATCTAAAGGAGCAAACTTCTTCTCATCATGCTTCTGCCGCTGCAAACACAAAAAGTTCAAAAGCCAAAAAAGGAAATTCCGAGAGTCGTAAAAAGAATGAAGTTAACTGGGACAATTTGAGGAAGCAGGTGGAGAGCGATGGTAGAAAAAGGGAAAGGGGAAATCACTCGATGGATTCACTTGACTATGAAGCACTTAGAAAGGCCAATGTTAAAGAAATCTCTGATGCCATCAAAGAACGAGGGATGAACAACATGCTAGCAGAACGAATCCAGGTTTGTCCTTTCTTATTCCACATAAGCACAATTAGATATGTGTAAAATATAAAGAAGACTGCCCTAGCACTATGATAGGAACAATAAGGAATACGTTAAGGCTCCTTGAATATGAAAATGGTTGCACAATCTTGCAGGAATTTCTAAACCGGCTGGTCAGAGAACATGGAAGCATTGACCTCGAATGGTTAAGAGATGTTCCTCCAGATCAAGCAAAGTAAGTTACTCAAAATATTTTAGTTTCCTCAGCGATACTACAGGTCAAACAAAAATACCAGAGACGGGGTTATTTATAGTAAACACTTACAATAATTATATCACTTGCCTTTATATTCTCTCAACAACGATTCCACTGCAGGAATTTCTTACTAAGCGTACGAGGACTGGGGTTGAAAAGCGTGGAGTGTGTGCGGCTTTTAACACTCCACCATCTTGCTTTCCCGGTAAGGTCTATTTGATTGTTTATTTATTATGTAAAAGCTAGACGGAGATAAGTTTAGAACCAACTTACCCCAACCACCGCCACCACTAAGCCATCATTTTGCATTTCTGTTTTCCTGAAGGTTGATACAAACGTTGGAAGAATAGCAGTACGACTGGGTTGGGTCCCCCTCCAACCACTTCCCGAGTCGCTTCAATTACACCTTTTGGAACTGTAAGCACCGCATGCTACCAATAAAACTTAAAGCTTATGATTGAAAGAATTTTGACTATAGTCTTTTACAGATACCCCATGCTGGAGTCAATTCAAAAGTATCTATGGCCAAGATTATGCAAACTTGATCAACGAACGCTGTAACTCCATAAGTCCCTCAAATATTCATGTTAAAATAAAAGCATACTTTTACAAGTCCGAAATTTAGTTTGAATGAACTCTTTTACCTTCCATTAAAGTCGTTGTTGACTATCTACAGATATGAGCTACACTACCAGATGATTACATTTGGAAAGGTTAGTTATCCGTCATTTCTACATTTGCTATTCCACTTGACTACAAATATTAATTTAGAATTAGTACTCAAAAAAAAGTTCTCACTCTTTCATATACATACACATGCAGGTGTTCTGCACAAAGAGTAAACCAAATTGTAATGCATGTCCAATGAGAGGAGAGTGCAGACACTTCGCAAGTGCTTTTGCAAGGTGTACATGCTAACGCCTCTGCACTTACTGTATATACTGCCTCCACTTTGCACCTTAAAAAACAAAGTAATAAAAACCCTAAAATTCAGGCGCAATATCAAACCCAGTTAATTTGAAACTAGAAAACTTTTAAAATGGTTAGACTAGTGGATAATTCCAGAAAAAAAAAATGGAGGCATCAAGTATATTCAAAACATTATTCGCAATTCATTATATATAACGGCAACAAAATAAAGAATCAAGGAAAAAACTACACTTGTGCGATCTATTTAATTACAGTATCTTCAGTATCTCATAGAAATTACAAAAAAAGAGACGAGAGAGAAAATGGCCAAAGATCTCATGATGCAGTAGTAAAATTTAGTTATAATGAATAGGCCCCAAAAGAATGTTTGAACTCCAAACCATTGTTTTATATAAGAAAACTTTGTCACATTGATAAATGAATCAGGAGTATTTTGATTTTTGGTTTGGATATTAGGTGGGCAAAAAATAGTTTTATATTCCAACAATATGGAAAATCTCGGTTCACATTTTAACCACTAGAAGATGAATTCCAAAGCATGAATTCACACAGCCTAGTTCACTATGTATGTAAGTTTTAGGAAAGAAAGATCCATTCTCCTCAAAACAACCCAGTAAGTGCATGAGACATTTGTCGATGATAAGTCTGACAACCATGCTGAATGCAGCGCAAGATTAGCCCTGCCAGGGCCAGAAGAGAGAGGTATTGTGACTTCAACCGTTCCTATACCAACAGAGGACCCCCCCGCTGTTGTTATCCATCCTATGACATTACCCCCACCAGAGAACGACTTGAATAAAGAAGTTGGCTCCAAAACTGGAAATTGTGAACCAATCATTGAAGAGCCTGCGACACCAGAATTAGAATGCACAGAGATTTCACAAAGTGACATAGAGGACGCATTTTACGAGGATCCCGATGAGATCCCTACTATAAAACTCAACATGGAAGAGTTCACAGAAAACTTGCAAACCTACATGCAAAAGAACATGGAGCTCCAAGAAGGTGATATGTCCAAGGCTTTAGTTGCGTTGACTACAGACGTTGCCTCTATCCCTATACCCAAACTGAAGAATGTCAGTAGACTTCGGACAGAACACCAAGTGTAAGTATCTTCCTACAGCAAATTCATACTTTTTGTAACTTACATCTAGGTTATAGAATTCTGCTAAACTGAAATCAGTTTTGAGACAGTGCAGAAAGTTTTACTTGAGCAATAATCTCTATTCTGTTATTAGTTACAATCACTACTACTGGATCATAGTGTTTAACCAGATGGTTAGAGCCCTATGACAAACAAAGCAACTAAGTCTTCTTAATTTTATTTCCTGGAAACAAGGCAATTAAGTTTTAGTCACATAAAGTACTTTTTGAAAATACTATATAGTTAACACCATAACATTCTGATCCCATGCAGGTACGAACTTCCAGATTCACATCCTCTATTAGAACGGGTGGGTTAATTTGCATCCCTAAATTTTGATCTGAACTAACTATATCAGCTTACCATTCTCATTTGAGCATTATTTTGAAATTTACAGCTTGATAGAAGACAACCTGATGATCCAAGCCCATATCTTCTTGCTATATGGACGCCAGGTAAACAGAAATTAAAATACTCCTGAAATTGTATGCTAATTAAAATCTTTGTACATGATTAAAGAAAATGGAAAAATGTGACTAATATCACCCATAGCATTAAGGGAAATATGAGAAACATGGTTGAAATCATAAATGCAATTGTGTGCGTTTGGTTGGTGGATTCGTGCCATGGTTCAGATCATGATTCGTAACTCGCTACAGTGTTTTCTCTCACAAAAAATACACATAAATCGAAAATGATTCTGAATCATGATTCTGAATCCATGAACCAATATGCCAACAGGTAGAAATAAAGATACGGGAAAAGGGACTTGCCAAGGGTTTGTTCATTAGCTACAAAAATTAAAGACAAATTTGCCATTTTGTTAATTAGTTACGCTATCTTTTAACACACATTTTAGGAGAAACTGCAAATTCAATTCAACCGTCCGAACAAAGTTGTGGCTCCCAAGAACCAGGCCAACTGTGTAACGATGAGACATGCTTCTCATGTAATAGCATGAGAGAAGCTAATTCACAAACAGTCAGAGGGACAATTTTGGTGAGAAATATCACTACTGATTATGTACAGATAACAATTAAAAGCAGCAAAAGTAGATAAGTATCAGTTGCTTACTAAAATTTGTATTGACTTGCACCAGATACCTTGTAGAACAGCAATGAGAGGGAGCTTTCCACTTAACGGCACATACTTTCAAGTTAATGAGGTAAGTCTTCCTCGTATGTTCTGCTTACTTTTACTTCCTAGCCAATCGTGAATATTATAATTCTGATATGGGCTTAGTTTACAGTTCTGCTCAAGCTCTTTCATTTTGCATTCAATTCACATTGGTTGCTTAAGCTGCATATAGTTATGATTGACAGTAAGCATTAATGTAGAAATACAGATATGGTTGGTTTACCCTCATCCGACAGTAGAGCATTTATTGTTTTGTGCATGTCTAAAACCAGTGAAAGTTCTATCACCCTGCAGATGTTCGCAGATCATGATTCTAGTCTCAATCCAATTGATGTTCCTAGAGAATGGATATGGAATTTGCCAAGACGGACAGTATACTTTGGAACCTCAGTAACAACTATTTTTAGAGGTACTGTAAGACTAGTGTTCAAAAATTTACTGCATGATCATGCCAATGGAAATGATAAGATTTACTAACAGATAAAGTATCTCTATTTACTAGGCCTATCAACGGAAGGAATTCAATACTGCTTCTGGAAAGGTATGGTACACCACCTTCAGTTTTCCTACTAATGTCAATTTTGCCCCCTTTCTAGTTGTGTGCGTGCGCGCGCTGTGGCTGAGGGATCTAATAGCAGTCAGGCATAGAGGACATAGAAATATCATAAATTTTCCCATTGTATATTGCTTGGCATAGGCATCTCATCCATGTCTGGCGATTCAATCCTATAAACTAATTTAACTAACTTAAATTTACTCAGGATTGAGTCTGCCTAAAGAAACAAATAGTGCAAAATTACCACAGTAGTTTTATTTGTTTGAACGTGAGAATTAACTGTACGGTCATTTCATTCAACTAATGGATTTCATGTCCCCGTTCACTGGCTTCCAAAATCCTGTTTGTTCTAGTTTCCAACTTACCCCTGCATGTTTTTTTCTTTTGTGTGTTGTTTTAATTTTTATCATTCTATACCCGTTGTAGTTTTTTCTTTAGTGAAAGTTTAGGTTGGCTAAGAAAGAACAGTCATCCACTAGGATTCAACGAATTTTTCTAAATGCAATGTTATAACTTATAATCTTCAATTACCGCATTGAAAATATTAGTTAAAGCATTCTAGTTATAGAACAGTTTTAAGTGCTTTTTAGGATAATTGTAGGAATTTTTCTCGCGACTGTTTAAACAAATCCTAGCTGCTAATATAAATGATGAATCGGACTATAGCATAAAACATCACTAAGCTTGCTTAGTCATTTCTTGCTAACCATCTACGATAAGCCCACAACATAAAATTTAGCTTTGCTATCCCTAGAAAAATCCAGAAGTAGATGGCAACAATATGTTGAAAACCTATAGAAGTACTTACAAGACAAATCACTATGTGGAGCCAAAAAAATAAAAAGGCAAGTTTAAATTGCAACTCAATCAAACAGACAGGTTTTCATGACGTAAAATCATCTATCAATTTACATGCTCAACTGTTTACACAATTATTTGCAGGGTTTGTTTGCGTGAGGGGATTTGACTTGACGACAAGAGCACCCCGGCCTCTGATGGCCAGATTGCACTTCCCCGCAAGTAAGTTGGCCAAGGTAAAAAATGATGACAAAAGGTAAAGAGTAGATGGGACCAACGGCTATCAGAACGAGGCACAAAGCAGGGTCTGTAGAACAAAACACATAAGATTACTGACGGGATGATACAGAAGATCAATGACTAACTTATTGTTGTACATTCAACCATTCTTCCTCTAACATAAAATGCATTCGCCACATCTCGGCCAGGGAGCACAAAGCAATTTCAAGACGTGAGATCCATAATAAGAGGAAAGTAGTTTGTACAAGACTAGATAACCATTTTTACTATTTCCGGTCTGCTCGAACCAGAGCAGTCTTCATTGTTTAGCCAATTTTCACAACCCCAGAAAAGGAAATAATCGAGTAATTTGATTCATTATAATTGATAAAGCACGTGTATGGATTGGATAACAAGCATATAAAGCACGGCCTATGTGATAAAGAGAGCATTTTTTCGCAATATCAGAGCAGTTACAGAGGCTTAAATATAGACCAATTAACTCGTTATGTGGTTGTGGAAACCATGTCTGAAACTCACTTCTGGATGGTGTAATACGGGTCTAGCACTAGCTGAGATTCATTTAAAATAAAGCTGTAAAAGTCAAATTCTTACCTCTGCAACAATGTGAAACGCCAACGACCAACTGAAAGAGCACTTCTTTTAATCCTTTAAGTTCACCATAGAAGAATCATATTTAATCTGTTTTCAGTGAATACGTGTTAATGCCTTTCTTGATATTTATTAATTCAATTTGAACCCGAAGTGAAACCATGTTTATGAGTTTCAAAACTTAAATCGAACTAGGCATGACCCTATCCTAAAACACTGGTTCATAACTAAAAGTTAATGCGCAAGATGTCCCCAGTTTTGGAATGGAAATGCTCACTCTCGTAGTCTGCTAGCAAATACCAGTAACCTATAGTCAATTTCATACCGTAAAAAACAAACAAACAAACAAATAAACAAACAAACAAACAAATAAACAAACTCACGCACAAAAGTGTACATCAAAAATCTATTACCTTCACATATGAGCATATGAGCACTTACGCTTACCTTTAACGAAATATTACATCCTACACAGCGTCCTTCCACGAGCTTTATCAAAACACAGAAATTTTTAACAGCAACAAAAGTACCAAGTACTGCAATAAAAATGACCAAAGTTCACGTACGAAAGTCACAGGATTCACCATCATCATCATTCTAAACTCTTTCATTAATTAAAATGCAATCTTTTGTACCTGTACAATAACTTAACAATCAAAACTTGTCATTATGCTTCCAAATCAAGGGTATGTGGCAAAAACGACTATTTTTAAAAGCATATTTTTAGTAAATATCTCAAGTTTTGGTTAAATAAGAAAATGCTCATTTTCTCAAAAATGATCAATCACTAATTGACTTGACAGTCAACTAATTGATTGAGCATTTTTAATAACTATTTAACAAATATCAATTAACAATTTACTAAATGGCTCTTTTTAAAAGTATATTTTTAATAAATATCCCAAGTTTGATTAAATTAAGAAAATGGTCGTTTCCTTAAAAATGGTCAACCACTAATTGACTCAATGGTCACTTAATTGATTGAGCGTTTTTAATAACTACTTAACAAATATCAATTAATAATTTACCCGTCTAATTGCTCTGATGATTAACCGAAATTAATTGATTAGTGCATCAACCATTTTAATGGCCACCGGTCAGCCTTCTTCATTTAAAAGCAAAAAATTAAAAAAAAAAGTTTTAATATTTTTTAAAAGAGGTGACCCAAAGCGGCCACCTCACCAAATTTCTCCCAAACCAATTAGGAAGAAAAGCAGCATAAGCTTTCTGACCAGACCAACAATTATCAGAATCACTGTGAGATCCTTGCGAGCTTAATCAACACCATCTTAATTCTATACTCTTATAAGAACCAACAATGACACAAAACCTCCGACACAACCACCGTCACAAAAACCGATAAACATGAAAACAAACGCATCAATCAAAACATACAGGGAGGCGATTTTGGAATCGTGGCGTTCATAGGCAAATCTAGGGTTCTAGATTGCGAGCGATTGATCTGAGACTGATATGCGAAGAAGAAGAAGAAAAAGGAAAACGTACCAGATTGGTGGGCGTAGCCCTTGGAGACGGCGGATTTTGAGACGATGAAAATCCATTTTCGTCTAGAATCCCTGAAAGGAGAGAGAGAGAGAGAGACTGTGCGCTGGTGTTTGCAAGATCGGAAAGAAGGAGAAGAAGGAAGGACAGATTTTTTTTTTTTTTGTTGGGCGAAGGTAGTCATTTTTGTATGGGAAATTGGGGGAAATGAGAAATGTGTGTTTTGCCGCCTTCGGAGCTGAGCTTTTTCCCTCCTTTCTTTCTTTCCTTTTTTTTTTTTGTTTTGTTTTTTGCTTGAAGAGCTTTTTCCCTCCTTTTGCTATTGAAAAACTTTGCAACTTTTATTCGGTGACGGCTGGGTTCACTGATTTTTTGGTCAAACGACTGTCTCGTGACTACACGTGTAAATTAAGAGTAAGAATTTGACTTCATACCCCTAAACTTTTTGTTAATTAACACTTTCTTTTCTTTTTTTTTTCTTTTTGAGATAATATCTCAAATTCTGGTACCTGTATTTTTTACTTTCTTAATTCGGTACCATAATGTTCCGTAAATCTCATTGGAGAATAGGTTCATGAATTTAGAATCATGATTCAAAATTATTCTCATTTTATGTGTATTTTTTGTGAGAAAAAAATACTGTAAATAACTATGAATCATGATTCAGAGTCAGGGATGAATATAGGACACAAACATATGCATAGCACGAGCTCCTTTTTTTATATACCATGAGCTTTTTTTTAATGATATGAAAGGATAATTTACCCTTTCAATTCAAAAACAATTCTTAAGAGAAAAGAAACAAGCTCTTAATATATATATTTAATACAATTCTCTTTTTTTCTTGAGTATAATCTGCAACCACAAATCTTATCATACCAAAATTAATCCAAAAAAAAATCCACACACAAAACAATATATATATATATATATGCATATAGGAGAAACATCGTCATTTTATAATTTTTTTTTTTTTTAAAAAAGAGCTCAGAGTAACGTATAGTATTTTTTTTGAAATAACAAGGTATTCAAACAAGCTTGAACATGGGATTACAAGGTTCCAAAATGATATATTTTCCTTCTTTCTTTATATAATTGAACTCTTTCTTTTCAAGAAAAACAATTTTGGCAATTTAGTCTATAATTCCGAGAGTTGTAGAAATTAACTCCTTGTTGATTCGATTTAAATTTTAAACTAACTAGTTTTCGACAAGTATAGAAAATTTTTTCAGTCAAAATTTTCGGATTTTAGCATCACCGACACCAAAAGATGGATCAAATGATGTATTAAATCAAGGCGTTTCACTTTCAAATACTTTTTCTCTTTGCTATCATTATTTTCTCATCTTGTATCAATTTTTGGATATGAGGTACCTTTAGTAGGTTAAACTTTAGTAATGTAATTTTTTTTTTTTTTTGGCATTTATTATACCTAATTTGTCTCTTTTGAAATTGCTATTATAATTTTGTTATTACAAGAAAATGATATTACTTGATAATTAGGACCCTGTGTGATGTGAAATCGTTCATTTAGTTGACATTGCCACTAAGTACCATCCATAATATTACTTTTTATTATCTTTGATCATTCATAATGATATTTACATTCTAAGTTGAAATTTCCTTTCTCCTTGCCTAATCTTTGTTTACAATACATGCAATAATGTTATTTTATCAAGGTCCAATTATTGTGTTCGGACTTCGGAAAACTTATGTAGTAAAATAATAATAATAATAATACTAATAAATACTCAAATGAACTAAATTTAAAAAAAAAAAAATTTTTGAAAGGTCCCCACAAAAAAGTCCACCACCATTTCTCTCAAACCTTTTTAAAAAATAGTCTTATATTGAACATTATTTTAAGTCACTAGCGCTCAATATAAAAGTTTTGCATTGATAGCCTCCTCTTTTAATGAAAATTTTGCCTTCTTCAAAATGCCCCTTGTCATACAAAAAATAAAATTACAATAATGAAAAAAGAGAATTGATAAAAATAAAAAAAATAAAAAAAAAACCCCATCATCTTATTCTTAAAAAAAAAAGGACCATCTTCAAACCAAAATCCCATCCCTTCCCACTCTTTTTCGCCGCCGCTCCCCTGTTGTTCATTAAGTTCGGCGTCCATCTCTGTCGCACTTTAGTGTTGTCTCCGGTGATTGGGAGACAAATCTCAAGATTGTCAAACCCTTAAAACTTGAAGATTCAATCTCTAAAATTGATAAATTAGTCTCAAAATATATTCTTTTTTTACTTTAAATAGTTGTTAAAAGATTGAGTTTTAATATTTATGTGTTTTATTTGAAAAAACTACATAATTCATGTTATTTTGTTGTTTTTCTCGACTTGGAAAATTAGAAATTTCGAAGAAGAACGATAATGAACAGTAATAAGTAGATTAGGAGGACTAATCAAACTGGTATGAACGGCCTAAACATTATGAACAATATGAACGATCCAAACGGTATTTCCGGTTTGCTCATTACTTGAATTTATGGTGATTTTATTTATTTATAATTTTCTCTAATAATAATATTTTTTTATTATCTTTATAGGAGACAGGGATTGTCGATCGTTGATTTTGAATTTAGATTTTGTTATCATAATTCATTGAATTTAAGTGTTTGAGGCACCATTTATGAATTAAAATACCGATTTTCTCACCTTACCAAAGAATAGTACGATCGCTCTTTCCGATCCGCCTAGCACACCGGATTGCAGTACACTTGGTTTTCTTGGTCCGAAAGAAATCACTAGGATGAAAATTATAATTTTATTTGAGATTTTGCTAATGAAAATTCCATGCATTTGTATGAATTTGTTGGCCGAGGTAATTTTATCACATCATCACTGTTGTAACACTACAATTTCTACATTATTTATATTTTTAGATGTCAATCTCATCTTAAAAAAATTAACTTTTTCTACATGATGTACTTTAATTAGCTCAATTCATAGCCTTCCTTTCTCCTTCCCTGTCAAGATGAACAATGCGGCTAAGCGTGCAGATTGTTGGTTTGGTGCGAAGAGAGCTTCTCCAAGTCCAGTTGCAGCCGCTGTGTCTGCTGATTCGGGTGCTTATGCTTACTATTCTCCCTCTGCCCTAGCTCCAAGATCTCAGTTTGTTGCACCAGGAACCTTTAGCATAAAACAGTTGGGACGCGGTCTAATTAATGTACATTTGCTAACAATAATTTCTTAAATTGAGCTTTAAGTTGGAGTTCCTAATTATAATTTTACAAGTTTAGTTTACCGAGATAATAGTGTCG